AGTTTGAACTGCCAACTTTGTGATTAACAGTCCAGTGCTTATCCTGCAGTGTCATACCAGGACCCCAATTTATTTAGTAAGGAACATTTGGGTTCCTTCCAGTCTTATACTTTTGCAAATACCAATAGAGTAAATGAGTTTGTACATCAGTTATTTTACACATATGCAAGTATATCTAGAAGTGGATTGCTGGATCAAACAGAATATATGCATTTGTAATTTTGGTAAATGGTCCCGAATTGCTATCTATTGTGAAAGTTTCAAAAGGCCACCTATTTCAAGGCCCAGTAAAATAATGCTTTATTACTTTACTAATAAGGCGTTATTTAGTAAAGACTTTTTAAAAGCCTTTTCTTTCTTCCATCTGACCAAATAAATTTAATTCTTACTACTCCTGGGCTTTCATAGCTCATTGTACTTTGCTAATGCTTTATCTGGAGTCCTGGTGTGGCGCTGTGGGTTAATACGCCAGACTGCAAAGCCATTTGAACTGCAAGGTTGGCAGTTCAAGCTCACCAGCTTCTCCTCAGAAACCCTATACAGGGTCGCTATGGGTCGGAATCGATACAGCAGCACTTAACAACAACAACAACAATAGTTTATTTAAACCTGCCTTGAATTATAATTATGAGTATAATGCAGTTGGATTGCATTGTCTTTACTAAATTATATAATGTTACTGACTTTTCTTGACCTGATATTATTTATTACTTTGCTTGATTATCTCAAGATTTCTCTAAACTCATGATTTGTCTTTACCTCTGCCTCACTATGGCAGAAGTGAGGTCAGAGCCAGGCCAAGGATGCTTTTAAGTAGTAGAAGTCTCCTGGGCTTGTCTTGGCCAGAATATATCAGGGGAAAGTCTGTATGCCCAGTTAACTGGAGTAGGCTGTAGAATATGACAATAGGTGTGGAAGTTTTCATCTTGCCAGTTATTGGAGTAACTGGCAAAATTACAAGCTACAAAAACACTTTTATGTTAGCCAAAGGTTCTTGTCAGATATAAAACTATGGTCTCTGAAATGTCCTTTCCTGAAAAGAATTGATGAATCATGTATCATCCTAAAGATTTTATTGCTAGGAATAGAAGTCTCCAACCTCAGAGTTCTGTTAACCATAAGGAGAATATTAGATATTCACATGTTAGTCATGATGTCTTAGGAAAATATTGAGCTGTATCTATTATTCTCAGTACTCAGCAGCTTAGAAAAGAAAGATTTTAAAAGATTGTGGAAACTTTTGAGACTTGCCATTAAATAAGAATATTTAAAAGTAGCTCAAATAGAAACTCAAAAATAGTATTTAAAGAGGAAGAGAGAATTCCATGAAAGAAGAAATTAAAATGACAACTTAAATCGATTTAACATGACTTGTGTAAAAATGAACAAATAGAGGTAGAATGCAAAGAATGCTTATCTTTTGCAATAGTATATGGTCAAAGTGACTCTGTGAAATAAGGATTTTGAAATAACATTTATTAATAGTATTTTTCTGACTACAAAAGTAGTTTATAAAATTTTTTTTAATTGCTGAAATTTTAAAATTACTACAAAGAACAAAAACCTAGTAATGAAAATTATTGACTAATCATTTTTAAGTTTGTTGGTTTTCATATTGAACTGTAGTGATGTTCATGAATCTTCAGTATGCTGTGCTGACTTAATCCTTTTGAAGCACTCAAATGATTTCAAGTCAAAGGATCTTGATTGATGCCCCAGTTCTACCACCTACTAATTTTGTGCCCTCTCATAAGTTACTTAGCCTGTTTTTATGCCTGTAAAATTATCAAGACAAACAAAGACCTTTCCCTCACAAAATTTATATTCTAGTGAAAAAGATAGAAGTAGACAAATAGAAATACAATCAATTTTAGGTAATGAAAGGTATTATGGGAGAAAAAAAATTACATAGGGTAAGAGATTAGAGTGCTCTAGCCAAGTTGGGGGTTGGGGACTATTTTAGATTAGAATGTTCAAGGAATAGTTTTTTTAAGAAGGTGGCATTTGAACAGAGACCTTTATATGGAGTAGAAGAGCTGTTTATTGCAGACATGTAAGCAGATGCATTCCACTTGGAGGAAAAAACGAGTGCCAAGTCTTGAGCTGGCAATAAAGTTGATTATAGGAGCAACCACAATAAATACATGAGAGATCTTAGAGTAAAAGAGTTTAGACTTTATTCTATGACCCAGTCGCTTTTCAGCAGGGTGTTATTCAGTTTCCATGTATTCAACTTTATTTCCTTGGTCTTCTTGTTGTTGATTTCTAGTTGTATAGCATTGTGGTCTCAAAAGATGCTTTGTAGTATTTTGATGTTTGTAAATTTATGGAGGCTTGCTTTGTGACCTAACAAATGGTCAATTCTGGAAGATGTTCTATGTGCACTGGAGAAGAATGTATTTTGTGCTGTTGTTGTGTTGAATGCTCTGTACACATCGATGAGGTCAAGTTGATTGATTGTATTGTTTAGTTCCTCTGTAACTTTGTTGAGTTTCTTTCTGGTTGTTCTGTCCCTTTTCGAAAGTGGTGTATTAAACTCTCCTACTATAATTGTAGATTTATCTATTTCTTTCTCTAATTCTAGTAAGGTTTGCTTCATGTATCTTGGTGCTCTTTCACTGGGAGCGTATATATTTGTTATGGTTATGTTGTCTTGCTCAATTGACCCTTTGATCATAAGATAGTGTCCTTCTTTATCTCTTATGCTGGTTTTAGTCTTAACGGTTACTTCATCAGAGATTAGTATTGCCACTCCTGTTTGTTTATTGTTGCAGTTAGCTTGCTGTATTTTTTTCCATCCTTTAACTTTTAGTCTGTTTTTGTCTTTGTGTGTAAGGTGTGTCTCTTGCAGGCAGCATATTGAAAGGTCTTGTTTTCTTATCCATTCTGCCACTCTCTGTCCAAATTTCTTGGAATAGATGAGTGAGTGCCTCCAGTGCCATCTCACTTTCTTGAAAGATTTCAATTTTTATTCCATCAATTCCTGGTGTCTTGTTCTTTGCCAATTCCTTCAATGTACTTTGGACTTCTTCCTTCAGTATCATTGGCTCTTAATCATATGCTACCTCTTGAAATGGTTGAACGGCAACCATTTCCTTTTGGTACAGTGACTGTATTCCTTCCATCTTTTCTGCTTTGTTCAGTAATTTGCTCAGAGAATCCTTCAATAATGAAAATTGCGGCTTGAATTTTTTCTTCAGTTTCCCCAGCTTGAAAAATGCTGAGCATTTTCTTCCCTTTTAGTTTTCCGATTCCAGATCTTTGCACATTTTGTTGTAATATTTGATTTTGTCTTCTCAAGCTAACCTTTGAAATTTTCTGTTCAGCTCTTGTACCTCATTTTGTCCATTTACTTTAACATCTCTACACAGTAGAGCAGGTTTCAGGGTCTCTTCTGACATCCATTTTGATCTTTTCCTTCTTTCTTGTCTTCTTAATGGCTTTTTGCTTTCTTCCTGTATGATGTCCTTGATGCCATCCCACAACTCTTCTGGTCTTCAATCTTTAGTGTTTAATGTATCAAATCTGTTCTTCAAATGATCTCTAAATTCAGGTGGGATAAATTCAAGGTCATATTTTGGCTCTCTTGGAATTGTTTTCATTTTATTCAGCTTCAGTCTGAATTTACATATGAACAGTTTGTGGTCTGTTCCACAATCTGCCCCTGGCCTTGTTTTGACTGATGATGTGGAGCTTTCCCCCCATCTTTTTCCACAGATGTAGTCAATTTGATTTCTGTGTATTCCATCAGGTGAGGTCCATGTGTATAATTGTCTCTTATGCTGTCTAAAGAAGGTATTTGAAATGAACAAATCATTGATTTTAGAGAATTCTATCACGTGATCTCCAGCATCATTTCTATCACCAAGGCCATATTTTCCAACTATGAGCCTTCCATTTTGTTCCCAACCTTTGCAGTCCATTCCCCAGTAATGATCAATACATCTTGATTGTATGTTTGATCAATTTCAGATTGAAGAAGTTGGTAGAATTCTTGTATTTCATCCTCTCTTGCTTTAGTGGTTGGTGCATAAATTTGAGTAACCGTGTATTAACTGGTCTTCCCTGTAGGTGCATGGATATTATCCTATCACAGACAGCATTGTAGTTTATCACTAATCTGGATATGTTCTTTTTGACAATGAATGCAACACCATTCCTCTTCAATTTGTCATTTCCGGCATAGTAAACCTTGTGGTTATCAGATTCTAAATGGCCAATACCAGTCCATTTCAGCTCACTAATGCCTCAGATATCGATATTTATGCATTCCATTTCATTTTTGACATTTTCTAATTTTCCTAGATTCATACTTCCTACATTCCACATTCCAATTATTAATCTATGTTTACAGCTCTTTCTCTTCATTTTGAGTTGTGCCGCATCAGCCACATCAGCAAAGGAAGGTCCTCCGGGCTTTTCTCCTTGGACTATACTCCATTTGCATCATCATGGTCTACTCCACTTTGAGGAGGCAGCTCTTCCCCAGTTGCATTTGAGTGCCTTCCAACCTGAGCGGCTCATTTTCCGGCACTATATCTGACAATGTTTATGTTTCTCTGCTATTCTTTAAGTTTTCTGTGAGTAAATATTTGGAAGTTTTTTTGTCTTTCCCTTTTCTAGTCTTCCTCTGGAAGCTCATCTGAAACCTGTCCACCGTGGGTGACACTGCTGGTATTTAAAATATCCATGACCTAGCTTTCAGAATCATAGCAACTTACAAGCTACCATAGTACGACAAACTGACAGACGAGTGCTGGTTCTGACTGATAGTGACCCTGTTTAGGGTTTCTGAGGAATGGCTGGTGAACTTGAACCACTGACTTTACAGTCCAGTGCATTAACCCACAGTGCCACAATAATTACATAATAGAAATTTAGAAGTTTAAATAATGTTTTATTGTGCCAGTCATGAACATGTTTCATCTATTTTATGGATTCATGAGTGGTGAATCTACTACGACTTAAAGCTCATTTATTATTATTTGCTTTTGTTGTAGCCTCGAGCTGTGGCAGGTTTCCGAGGGACGGTTCGTTATGCATCAATCAATGCTCATCGGAACAGGGTAGGTATCAGAACTAGAGGTTTATCTGCATAAGCATGCTGATGGCTTGAATCAGTCTGACTAATTTACGTTAGAGTACAGAAGTAAGGAAAGTGCTTAGGAGCAAAAGGACGGTCCCCTTTATAGTTAAGGGTGTCCTAATTCATGTTTTTGTGGTGGCAGTGAAGGTAAGTGAGTTGACAGTTGTGTTACATATAGTAGGTAAACAATATTTGAAGCTGCATAGAAAATAAAGTTGAATCGTTTCCTGATCTTTTGTTACCACCTTTCTGTTCTGTGAAGCCAAAATTACTTTAATGATATTTTTTGTGTGAAAACATACACCTGTTAACAATTTTTACACATACAGTTCATTGACAGTAGTTACATTTTGTCACCATTCTCATTACCTCTGCCTCTTAAAATCTCATCTGTGCTTTAGAGTTGCTGTTGTCATTTCAGTCTCATATAACTAATTCTTCAATAATGCTTAAGTGAGCCATTCTTTCTTTATTTAGATAAATTGTTGTTTTATTTAAGTTGAGATCATGGTATAATTTGGGCTCAAGATTCAAAAGTTGTTTTCAGGGGTCCTTCCAACCAATCCAGTAAGTCTGATTTCCAATAAGAATTTTTTAAGTGCGTAGTGGTTACGAATCGGGCTGCGAACCTTAAGGTCAGCGGTTCAAAACTACCAGCTGCTCCACAGGAGAAAGATGAGGCTTTCTACTCCCGTAAAGATTTACACCCTCGGAAACCCTATACATGGTCGCTATGGGTCGGAACCGACTCGATGGCACATAACAACAACAACAACAAATTCCTAAATTATCTTTCTTTTATTCAAGATCCATCTATTGAATTCCTGATCCAAATGTTTTGTAATGGTAGCCAGGTACTATCCATTTCTTCTGGTTTCATAGCAAGGGAGGCAGCCACTGGTTTATGGAGACAATTAGACCTGCATACCTTTTCCTTCTCAGCTTTCTGGGTCTTCTTCCTCTGTGGCTCCTGGTGATTAGAAACTAATTATTGTGTGTTAAATAAGCTGCTCACAAACTTTTTTTAACACTACCCACTAAATTAGGATGAAAGGCAGAAACTTAAAATACGAGACCATAAAGATTATTGCTTAACAATATTATACTCCTTTTAAAAAATCACATGTAATAAGACTATAGGTAGAAGCCTGAACCACATCCAGATCTCCAGAGATGGGAAATTTCCATTTGAAAGGACGAGCAGACCAGCCTGGAATGGTTAGAATAATAGAAGATACTTCTTGAAAGAAAGACCTAAAGGAAAAATACAAAACAATAGAGGCAGATGGACTGTTACTACAAGAACAAACAAGTTGCTTGCCCAGGAAACATCAAGGCAAGTGGTCGGGTCCCCTCAGTGCAAACCCCCTTCCAAGAATAAGACTCAGTGGGAATACACACTCTGATTGGTGACCACGCTTGTCACCAAAAAGGGGAAGTGAGGGAAAAACAGCAATGAAGTGGTGAGCTAAGCCCTACAATGTGGAGAGTGAAGCGTTCAGCTGATAAAAAGAGAGGGCATATGCACAAGAACACCCATGTGCAGATAATACCCACTTGACCTGGCTTCAATGACTGGATGATCAGAGCTCAACCAGAAGAAGAAAGAAGAGGAAAAAAAAGAGTAATTGGATGCAGTTTGATGAACTTGACCTACACCTATGGAAGCAGTACCTCAAAAGAGGGAACAAATTCTTACAGCAAGAATCATTCCCACCCCCTCCACACACAGAATAGACAGGGATGGGCAACTTGGACATTGGCTACCCAAAATGAGGGGTGGGGGGCTACAAAGGTAAGTGACTGGCTTACAAGCTTTCAAGAGGGAACCTAGAGCCAGGGGGCCTGGAGGAAGGCAGAGTCTCCAGTGAGTGGTATCCAGTCTGCCTAGACAGAGCTGATGCAATGAAATGCAGATGGGTTTCTTGTGATACAATAGTGAATAATTGTTATCAGGACTGATTGTGAAAGTTGGAAATGTAAAGGTAGACATTTTATAGCAAGGAAGGAAGGGAATAACTTT